CTGCAGACAGCAATCAGTGCCAAAACACCAATTTACAACAAAAACAGGACACAGCATGCAACAAGCAAACAGACACAGGAACAAAACCTTCCTCTCCCAATTCACTTGCCTTTTGAATATCCTCCTTCTAATTTGTGAACAGTTATGGGGAACTGGCAGGCAAAATATTTTATATTCATTCATATTTTCATAGAACAATGATCTGACAGCAACTTCACCAGTCAAGTAAAGTTTACAATCTTTTCCAAGCTCTAGACCAAACACATCTAGTCCAACAACAATCTCTCCAGCCCATATTATCCATAAAGTAACATGAGCATGCACTTAGTTTGGACTATGTCTCGCTGAACCCAGTGGGGCTTATTCCTGAACAGATAGATTTTTTTAAAAAAAAATTAAAGTATTTAAATCTTCACTCTGTATCAAACAATCTTGGGGCAGCACACAAGAAAATTAAATTAATATATACACTGGCCATGATCACAGAAAGACTACATATATACTAATGAAAGTCTTGCAACTTCAGTAAAAAAAATCAACCAAAGATATTGGGTAGAGTTATCCATGGCTCAATAGATTGTACTGTACCGTAACTCTATTAAAAAGGGCAACACGCCCTTCTCTGAGTACAGCAGCAAAAAACAAAAACTTAATCTGTCCCAGAAGAACCTAGAAGAAATACTGACCCCAAGGTTGTGTTTGTTTTTAATCTCCAACCCTAAAATCAAATTGCTAATACTATGCAGTTCAAAAGTTGCCTCATAAGAATTAGTCTTTATATTCCAGGAAACAATGCTCCTTCCTCTCTCAGTATGGTTTTCTTTGATCGACGGACAGCCCCCAGTGGTGCAATGGATTAAATCCTAGTGCCAGCAGGACTGCTGACCGAAAGGTTGCCAGTTCGAATCTGGGGAGCGGGGTGAGCTCCCGTATGTCAGCTTCGACTTCTCATACGGGGACATGAGAGAAGCCTCCCACAGGATGGTGAAACATCCATATGTCCCCTGTCCTTACAGACAGCCAATTATTCTCTTACACCAGAAGCAACTTGCAGTTTCTCAAATCCCTCCTGACACGAAAAAGTCACCTTGAAGAGACCTGTAGACAAAGCTCATGTTGCCTATGAGCAGAAGAACTAGTTGTTCTTCAACAGTCAATAAAGAAGCCTGATTTAAACAGTGTGGATGCACCCTGAGAGACTCCCAGATGCCATATTATTCCAACAAAATTATCGGAGTTGGAAACCTTTGAGCCACCAAATGATTTGGACTGCAATTCTCACGTTTATTACTGCTCACGCTGGCTCGCATTTCTGGGAACTGAAGTCCAAAATATCTGGAAGACAAAGACTTCCCATACCTAGCAATTTGTTTTCACATAAATGTCTGATCTAACACAAAACATAAACATGGGGGTGGAAGAGAAAGGAGGACATAAATCCCACCACAATTTCAAGGAAAAACTAAGTCTTCTGCAAACAAACAGAAAAGAGATACAAAAATACTCTCAAATGCTTTAGATCCCTACAGAGACAGTAAATGTGTAGAAAACCAACTGCCACTACATTAGCAGCTTGTTTCCTGCAAACTGTAACTACACCTATGGGAAGAAGGAACAAAGTTGGGAAAACTATGAAGCGTCAATCAATTTAGATGCATTCTCCAGTATCCTCTAACTACAAGAATGGGGAATGCCAGATGTTGTCTGGCTAGAGGTCTCATAATCTCTCACCACTGGCAATAGGAGTCTGTAGGAGCCCCCAGTGGGGCAGTGGGTTAAACCCCTGTGCCGGCAGGAAGACCAACAGGTCGCAGGTTCGAATCTGGGGAAAGGCGGATGAGTTCCCTCTATCAGCTCCAGCTCCCCATGCGGGGACATGAGAGAAGCCTCCCAAAAGGATGGTAAAAACATCAAAACATCTGGGCATCCCCTTGGCAACGTCCTTGCAGACGGCCAATTCTCTCACACCAGAAGTGACTTGAAGTTTCTCAAGTTGTTCCTGACACGACCAAAAAAACCCAAAAAAACACTGGCAACGCTGTCTAGGGCTGATAGAATCACAGAATCATAGAATCAAAGAGTTGGAAGAGACCTCATGGGTCATCCAGTCCAACCCCCTGCCAAGAAGCAGGAATATTGCATTTAAATCACCCCTGACAGATGGTCACCCAGCCTGTTTAAAAGCTTCCAAAGAAGGAGCCTCCACCACACTCCGGGGCAGAGAGTTCTACTGCTGAACGGCTCTGACAGTCAGGAAGTTCTTCCTCATGTTCAGATGGAATGTCCTTTCTTGTAGTTTGAAGCCATCGTTCCACATCCTAGTCTCCAGGGAAGCAGAAAACAAGCTTGCTCCCTCCTCCCTGTGGCTTCCCCTCACATATTTATACATGGCTATCATATCTCCTCTCAGCCTTCTCTTCTTCAGGCTAAACATGCCCAGCTCCCTAAGCCGCTCCTCATAGGGCTTGTTCTCCAGACCCTTGATCATTTTAGTCGCCCTCCTCTGGACACATTCCAGCTTGTCAATATCTCTCTTGATGATAGCAGCAAGCCAAAAAGTACTGGAGGCCCATAACTGTCACCCCTACAGAAGTGCAGTAGTGCTAGGAAAAAACCTCCCAGAGTCACAAGATATCAGTCTAAGTGCATATCTGCAGTCATGTATTGCAACATTGCTATCAATTATGGTGCACTTTGAACACATATTGTTAAGCATAGGTCATCTTGGCTTCAAAGATACAGAGAGCTTAATACGTTTTTAAGACAACTCTATCAAGCTGCTTGAAATGACCAGGGCAACAAATAATAACTCAGTGTCTGTTGTCTATATTAAAAAAATCAGCCATGCCTTTTCTGTGGCCTGTAAGTGCAAGACTCTATTACTGCCAGGTCATTACTGCAAAGTTAGGATTTTAAAAAACTCGAGAAGACAAGTGCCCAACACAATGAATAATAATAATGATAATAATAATGATAATGATAATAATAATAATAATAATAATAATAATAATCTTTATTTATATGCCACTCTATCTCCCTGAGGGGACTCAGAGCGGTTTCCAAGTAACATCATCAATACATACAGAGTAAACAACATAACCATAAGATTAACAAAACAATATAAGCATAAAAATTGTTACCATAACACATATATATTAAAAGTAATCCTGCCTGTTCAAGGCAATTTAAAAGGCCGGGCCAAGATCAGTGCAAGCTCAAAAATTCTGGGGGGCCCGGGAATTAAGTGCAGTGCTATACCAGGCAACAACAATAATAGGTACGGGTCTATGGCTGTTCATTTCCGGGGCCTGTTAGAGGAAGTGATCTGGGTAATTGGTAGGAAGAATAAGGCCATATTCAACAATGTGTAGGGCTGAGTTAGAACTGGTCATTTTCAAAGGTTTGTTGAAACCACCAGGTCTTCAAGCTCTTACGAAAGGAAGGGAGGGATGGTGCCCGTCTAATTTCACTGGGGAGGGCATTCCAGAGGCGGGGGGCCACCACTGAGAAGGACCTCTCTCTCTCTCGTCCCGACCAACCATACTTATGACAGTGGTGGGAGTGAAAGAAGGGTTCCCACCACCGTTACAAGTACGGTTGGTGGGGACAAAAGGAGGAACAAAAAAGAAATCTGGAAACAGCACAACTACAAACAGGCTGTCTATCATAGACCTAATACAACTCTTTACTCCCTTTAAAAAAGAGATTGCATAAAAAGACTAAGCAATAGAAGACATGTGGAATCATAGAATCAAAAGAGCTAAAAGAAACCCACAAGTGCCATCTGGTCCAACCCACTGCAATGTAGAAACACACAATGAAAGCACTCCTGGCTAATGTGAATCCAGCCATTGTTTTAAAAACCCCAGGGGAGATTCCACCACACTCTGAAGCTGCACATTTCACTGTTAAACAACTATTACCATCAGAAAGTTCCTCCTAATGTTTAGGTGGAATCTCTTTTCCTATAATTTGAATCAATTGCTCGGTGCCTTAGACACTTCAGCTTCAGAAAAGAAGCCTGTTCCACCTTCAATAGGCCATCCTTTCAGATATTTAAACATAGTTATTATGTCCTTTCTTAACTTTCCCTTCTCCAGACTAAACACACTCAGCTCCCTGTTCCTCACAGCAGCTTCCAGACCTTCACTTATATTGGTCACCCTCTTCTGGACACATTCAAACTTGTCAACAACTCTCTTGAATTGTGGTGCCCAGAACTGGACAGAGAGTAGACTATAGAGTGGTACTACTCCTTCAGTGTTGACATTATGCTCTGATTGAAGCAGCCAAAAATCACATTAGCTTCATTAGCTGCCTGAGTAGTATTGGAAACCATAGGAAAGTACCACTTTATTCAGAGTTCTCAGTTACATGAGTCAATTTCACATTGGACTCACAGAATTCCAGGTGCTTCCAGAAAAAAGGCCCCTGAAATAATCCCATTAAACATATAAGTGAATTCCAAAGTATGTCTGTCATGGCAAATGCTCTGTTAAATTACTGTGACGCAAAGCTTTTATCAGGAAAGACCATAACTGAGCAAAAAGGGAAGACTATGCACAAAAGGCATGCTGTTGGCGCAATGCTTGTACAAATTACACAATCTGGCTTGTTTGATTGAAAAGTGCACCAGACATTTCCAGCTACTGACATAAGCATCTGAAAAGCCACTGGGAAAAATAATGCATCCAATCTCTGCAATTTTCCTTTCTATAAATTAAACATCTACACAGCTGCTTGGAAAGGAACTGCTCTGAAGGTGTCAATGAACAAGAAAAAATAATGCACCCCAGAGTCCTTTGCAGTCCTTAAAAGGAATGGTGGAGGAACGTCAGGACGGCTGTACTTAAGCAAAGTTGCATCGGTCACAAGACTGCAAAGAACTCCAGGGCACCCAATGCAACTGTGAAGTGTAAAGAAATTGTCTCTCAACCATACTTGCTTCTGAAGAGCTGAAGACACATAAAAGAAGCAAAACAGGACAGATTTCATGTTACCCTTGGTGACGTTTCTCCAAAGAGAGGCCTATTGTCCAGGCCTCTGGTCCCATAGGTCCTGGTAGTGAAGTCCTCCATTATTTCCAAATCTTCTCTCGAATTCAGCTTTCCTCTGTTGTAGATTGCTCTTCTACATATAAGCAAGAGATCTCAGAACAAAGCCATCTCTTGTTTCAAAGCCCCTCAGCAACAGATGTAGCACCGGGAAGAGCGAAGCATTTATTTACGGAACATGCATCTCTCCATGAGCGCGGGATGCTGCGTACAATGTGCAATTCAGAGTCAGAAATCCAAGAATCTCCACCACGCTTCAGCTTTCTTCCTCATGATCAGCAGCTGAGGAGAAAGGGGAAAATATGTTATCAGAAGACTTGTATGTTCCCCAATGGCAAGGCCCATTTATTAAATATTTACTCTTGGCTTCTGGTGTGGCTAGGGAAAGCATCCTCAAACACCAACCTTCCAGCTGTGTGTGTGGGGGGGTCTAACTTCCAGAAGCCCTAGAGCAGTAGTTCTCAACCTGTGAGTCCCCAGGTGTTTTGGCCTACAACTCCCAGAAATCCCAGCCAGTTTAGCAGCTATTAGGATTTCTGGGAGTTGGCGACCAAAACATCTGGGGACCCACAGGTTGAGAACCACTGCTCTAGAGCAGGGATCCTCAAACTAAGGCCCAGGGGCCAGATACGGCCCTCCAAGGTCATTTACCCGGCCCTCGCTCAGGGTCAACCTAAGTCTGAAATGACTTGAAAGCACACAACAACAACAACAACAACAACAACAATCCTATCTCATCAGCCAAAAGCAGGGCCACACTTCCCATTAAAATACTAATAAGTTTGTATTTGTTAAAATTGTTCTTCATTTTAATTATTGTATTGTTTTTATGTGTTTTTTACACTACAAATAAGATATGTGCAGTGTGTATAGGAATTCATTCATGTTTTTTTTTTCTTCAAATTATAATCCGGCCCTTCAACTGTTTGAGGAACTGTGACCTGGCCCTCTGTTTAAAAAGTTTGAGGACCCCTGCTCTAGAGGATGCCTAGACTAAAGAGAAGAATGAATTGCCCATTGAACTGTTTTGTACACATCTCTCACTTGTAAAACAAAAATGGGAAACCTCTTGCCTGCTTCAGACATCCACAGATTACAGCTCCCATCAGCCCCAGACGCACAGCTGAAGGAAACTGAAAGGTCACAGGTTCCCCACTCCAAAGAGTCCTCAACCTAAGATCTTCCAGATATTTAGGACTCCAATTCCCAGAAGTTTCAATTGGGACCACAAAGGAATTTTTGGAGCTGAGATCTAAAGCAGTTATAGGATCAATGCTGGAGAACACCTCTGCTCTTAAGGCTTATCTTGCTCCCTCAACACTGGTCAACACATATTTTGGTGTCTCAAATGTTAGACCTATTTCTGGGTATGTCTGACCTGCCGATTCCAAAAATGGCACCAGTTTCCCCTATCAGCTCTAGTTTTTGAGATACAGAACATATGCCATCTATCAATCTTCACTGTGCTCTCCCATTTAAACCATGGTATTTTAATGTAGTTTGAATCAGTATATTTAATCATATATTGTATATATTAAACATTATAAGTGGACTATGGAAAAAATTCTACCTACAGGCAGTCCCTGAGTTACAAACATCCAACTTATAAATGACTCATAGTTAAGAACGAGGGTGAGACAAAAGGAAGTGAGAGAAATCTATCCCTGTCCTGAAAAGGAAGTGAGAGAAATCTATCCCTATCCCTATCCTGAAAGAGTTATCGTGGGAAAAGGTATCTCCACTAAAGCTTTATCACAAATCATTGTTTCTACAAAAAGCCAAATTTTTCAAAATCCAATTATTACAGGGACAGAAAGTGAAATGAGACCTTCTGATCAGGGACACAGACAGTAAAACAAACACCACATTAACCCTTCCATGTGCTATCCAAAGCTTATACGCACATACATATATTGGGATGGAGTTACACTTAAAAATGTACCTGTTCCGACTTTCATACAAATTCAGCTTAAATATGTATCTCATAAGGGGTTAGTTCAACCACCTTTGTGAATGACTGTGCCACAAAATAATACAGGTCTAAAAAGTGTGTCACTGACATGTAATGTTTAAACAGCTCTGCCCTGGCCTCTCTTCAGAAAACTACAACTCAAGAGGTCCTCTCGAAAAGGAGTGTTCAACTAGACTAAATCTTTAAGGTGGCAGTAGCTATTGACTATCAGAGTCTCCCTTGTGATGGTTGATGTAAGATTGAAAGACGAACTGGGAACAGCTGGAAATCAAGCCCACAGAGCCTTCCAAACTGTGTCATGACACATTAAGTGTGTCCACTACAGGGCGTAGGCATGTCATGCGAACGTAACAATATTGAATATCTATGTTATTGTCTCAACAATAATATATTTTTAAATATATAAATTAAACCTTTTCACAACAGATGTAGTGTCCAAATATACGTATCTCATTTTGACAATTTGCACCTGTGCATGTATCTCTTATAAGGGGTTGGTTTAACCTCCTGTTTGCCAGTAAAATTACAGTCATGAGATAGTGTATGTCTAAAAAGTGTGTCAGAAGGACACTTCCTTTTCGGAAGTAATTCCTCCACTAGCAAGGCTAAAGCTCCTTCCACACAGCTGAATAAAATCCCACATTTTTTTGTTTTGAACTGGGATATATGGC